CAAAATGGGAAATGACTGCCTAGGAAGGAGTACTGTGGGAAGGGATCTGGGGTTCATAGCGGATCACAAGCTAAATATGAGTCAACAGTGTAACGCTGTTGCAAAAAAAGCGAACATCATTCTGGGATGTATTATCAGAAGTATTATAAGCAAGATACGAGAAGTAATTCTTCTGCTCTACTGCAGGCTGATTAGGCCTCCACTGGAGTATTGTGTCCAGTTCTGGGCGCCACATTTCAGGAAAGATACGGACAAATTGGAGAAAATCCAGAGAAGAGCAACAAAAATGATTAAAGGTCTAGAAAACATGACCTATGAGGGAAGATTGAAAAAATTAGGTTTGTTTAGTATGGGGAAGAGAAGACTGAGAGGGGACGTGATAACAGTTTTCAAATACATAAAAGGTTGTTACAAGGAGGAGGAAGAAAAATTGTTCTTCTTAACCTCTGAGGATAGGACAAGAAGCAATGGACTTAAATTGCAGCAAGGGTGGAGATGGATACAGGCAGACGGGGGAGCACAAGGAAACAAGGAGACAGTATTGCTCAGCATGACAAACAGTGGTCTCAGCACACTGGCAGCCTAACCGTTATCAGTTTTTTTTGTTGCCAGCATGGCAAAGGAGAATTTTGAGGATGGATTTGAAGGTGAATAATGATATTGCTTTGCAGAGGTTTACAAGGAGCTCCTCCCAAGTGTGTGGGGCAGCATGGGAGAAAACACTAAGATACAGGTTTGAGAATTTTACAAGACTGGCATCCTGGGTCTATCGGAAGCAGAGCCGACATTTTGGTAATGAATGAGAGATGATAGGTAGGATGGGGATAGATCATGAAGGGCCCTTAAAATGAAGATAAGTATGTTATGATGGGATGCAAAGGAAGGGGTGACATGGGCTAGGGATATCATCTTTGCAGCAGCATCCTGAATGGATGTGAGTGGGACAAGATTGCATTTGTTGAGGCCAGATAAAAGGATGTTGCCGTAATTGAGATATTAGATGATGAGGGCTTGGACAAAAGTTCTAGCTGTGTGGATGGCCAGAAAAGGCCATATTTTAGAGATGTTTTATAGAAAAAATCTGCAAGATTTAGACATAACTTGGATGCAGACCTAGAGAGAGATCCGAGTTGAAAATAACGCCCAGGTTGTGGGCCTGAGTGACAGGCAGGATGGTGTCTGTAGTGGTTGAGAAAAGAGGTGTGAAGAGGGCTTGGAGAGGAAGACTGAGCTGTTTTACCCACGTTGAGCTTGAGCTAACAAGAAGCTGTCAGAGAGACAGGCTGAGATGTTAGTTTGGACAGAAGAAGACAGGTCTAGAAATCTGTGAGTCATCAGCACAGAGATTGCAGCTGAATTTGCGTTTGTGGATGAGATTATACAGAGATAAGATGTAGAGGGAGAAGGGGACCAAGACAAAGCCTTGTGGAACAACCACAGAAAGATGAAGAAGGAATGAGGAGGATTACAGAGGTAGGAGAAGAACCAGGAAACAAACAGAATAACGGATGCCAAGGAAGGATGACATTTTTTTTTTAGAAGAAGAATATGGTCAGTGGTGTTGAAGGCAGCTGAGAAGTCAAGGAGGATGAGAATGGGGTACTGCTTTTGAGCTTAGCTAGGAAGAGGTCATTAGAGACTTTGGGAAAGGCAGTTTCAGTGGAGTGGAAGAGGTGAAAGCTGGTTTGGAGAGAGCCTAGAATGGAATTGGAGGAGAGGAACTCCAGATAGTGAATATAACAGCACATTCAATGAACTAAGAGAGGAAAGGGAGATGTAGCAGTAGGTGGAGAAGCAAATGGGGCAAAGGGTGGTGCTTTGTAAGATAGAAGAGACTAAAGCATGTTTGTATTGTGAGGGGAAAGAGCCAAAGAAGCAAGAGAGGTTAAGGAAAAGAGTCCTGGGCGGATGAGAGTAGGTATGAGGGAGATTGGGATGGCGGTCACTGGGGCAAATGGAAAGGTTAAAGGAGGACAGCAGACAAGACACTTCTGCATCTGTGACAGTAGAAGGAGAGAGTTGTAGAAGGGCCAGGGGTAAGGGAAGGCAAACTGAGGAGAGGAGAAAGGTCACATCATATTTGGTCAATTTTCTCTTGGAAGAAATCACCAAAATCCTACGCAGAGAGAGAATTGGAGGCAGGAGGAGGGGAAGGTTTGAGTCAAGGGTGATGAAAAGGCAGCTGGGATTGTGGGCATGGGATTCAGTTAAACTGGAGAAGTACAGTTGTTTTGCAAGAATGATGTCCGAACTAAAGGAGAAGAGAATGAATTTGTACTGGAGGAAGTCGGCCTGGTCACAGGATTTCTGCCAGACACTCCCCACAGCATATGACCAGGAGCACAGGAAGTAGCTACTGGGGATGATCCCAATGGGGCTGGAGGCTGGCAGGGCAGATCTTGCGATGGGAGAGAGGGCAAAAGAGTCAAGTGTGTAGAAGATTGAAGCACAGAGAGAGTTAACAACCATATCAATGGAAGAGAGGGCTCAGAAGAGACTGGAAGTCATGGAAAGGCCATGTGACAGGGCAGTGCTCGTGGGTGATGCTGAAAGAGCCCCAGTGATAATCAGGGAGGGGGAACTCAGCAACAGAGAGATTAGAGAGAGCAGTGCTTGGTGAAGACCATGTCAAGTGAACATCTCTTTTGGTGAGTGGGAGAGTTGAAGCAGCTCTGCTGGTTGAATGAAGAGGTGGGGGTGAGGAAACTTGTTGCTAAGTGGTCAGAGGGGTCATCCACATGGAAGCTGAAGTCATCAAGGATGAGTGTGGGAGACTGTGAGGAGATGAAGACAGGGAGCCAGGAGTCAAAATCAGAGAGGAAGGCGGATGAGGAGGAGCTCGGCAGATGGTAGAGATGGTCATGGAGTGGGGAGAGGAGAGAAGAGTCAGATGCAGTGCTGTTCGAAAGAGGAGGAACAGAAGATAAGCCCAACACCCCATCATGGCAGAGGACTCCATAAAAGAGTGCAGCTGCAAAGGCAGTGTCAGCCGAAGGGATCCAGGTTTCTGTGAGAGCTGGAAGCTGGAGGGAGTGAGATATGAGGAGGTCATGGATTGTTTTGATCTTTTTGGGTATTGAGTGTGAGTTCCAGAGACAGCAAGAGAAGGGGGGAATAGTTGTGAGGTTAGGAATGGTCCCATGAAACGACTGGAGGTGGTGGCAAGGATGGGTGTAGGAGGAGGAGAGGGTGGGGAGAGGCAGGAATAGAGCAAATGTCACCAGAGTTGAGGAGAAGGAAACTGAGGAGGGTGTGGGTGTGGGACCTGGATTTCTGCTGCTGGGAGAATGGGGGAGCGGGGGATGGAGAGGGGAAGAGGAGCAGGTAGAGTTGATTGGAACTGTGGAGGGTTGAGGGTAACGAGGATATTTGTTTTAGCACCTTGTTCTCTGTCTGGGATTGAATAGATGCATTGTCAGACAGCAAAATGCTAAGATACACTAGCAAAGACAATACATTTGCAGTGGGGAGAGTGGATAGTTGGCATTATTAAAACAAAATATACTGTGTTGTTGGTTATGAGTTTTAGTCAGCACTGTGCTTCCTAGAGCTGCATGTGTAAGACACGCTTGTCTTGTGGAACTTCAGTCTGTTCTGCAGTGCAGGGTTTTATGGAATAGTTTCCCCAGTTGTTAGGTTTTCTTTCTCATGACACCCTAAGTACTATTTCGTGGTAAACGCTCTTCTAATTATTTTAATCACTCAGTTGTCAAACCTGCACTGTATAGTTTTAAGTGGCTTGGAAAACAAACTTCTTAACTTTTAGTGGATTGGTAAGTAAACATCAGTGGGACTAACCAGTTTCTTGAACTTGGCGAGGAAGCACATATTTGGGCTAGGGGGTATTGTACTGGGGGGAAAATGAGGTTCTATAGCAAAGTGAGGATGGGTCAGTTAACGACTCTTATACTGAGCTGGTTGTCCTTTGAATATTATTATATGACCCAAAGAACAGCAGTATAGTGAAGACAGTCTGTTTATTCATAACTATACCTATACTATCTATACATAACTATACCTATATACTATATATATATACTATATATACATATGTATATATACTATACATAGCTATCTATATAACTGTAGATACATGCTGTGATACCACAATATGGATTCAGGATTTAAAAACAAGATTAGATTATTAGAATAAGTCTGTTAATTAATCTTTTTAATTATTTGACCAGCTCTAATAATAAATATAACATTAGGTGCTGGGCCATTATGTCCGTTCCTGTGTTGCTGTTACCAACAACGCAGGAATTGAAATAATGGACTGGCTTCTAATCTGGTCGTGGTGTTTTTGATGTTGTTGCCATTTTTTGACATCAGTGTCCCATTCTGAATGTGTCACCCTTGTGCTAATCAGTAGCAGAAATCCAGGACCTTGCAGGTCAGCTTTGTGGTGGTGAAGAAATCAGTGGCGTGGAATCTGGTTATATATTACACTTAACTTACTTTATTTACACATGTACACCTTCCCTGAAATGATATAGTCAAACAGTGTGCCAACCAATCCTCTCTTCCAGGAATTTTAGCATAACACCAGTGGCCAATTCCCAGGGATCAACTCTGCCTCAAGAAGAAAAGGAGTACTTGTGGCACCTTAGAGACTAACAAATTTATTTGAGCATGAGCTTCCGTGAGCTACAGCTCACTTCATCGGATGCCTCAAGAATTATCTCTGATTGCAACCCAGGGCAGAGGGCGAACTCTCCTGTTACTCATACAGCTCCCTCTCTCCCAAAATTGCCTCTGCACAAAACATTGTACATCTGAAAAGTAACAGCAACACATGTCTTCCTAAGTGTCAAAACGTGCTTGCACATTAAGAACTTGGAAGATGTGTAACAGCACCGCCTGATGACTCCTAATTATTTATTAGAGCTGCCCAGTTAGCTGAAAAAGAGATTAAGCAAGATACAAGTTCTAAATGCCAGCTTAAAATATTTCAAAGTGTGGCTTCACCATGTACATTTCCTTCTCCTTGTGTGCCACAGGTGGGTGGTGCTGCAGTGATGGCTGTTGGCATATGGACCCTAGTTGAAAAAAGCGACTATCTGAATATCCTGGCATCTAGTACATTTGCCGTGTCTGCATGCATCCTGATCTTTGCAGGAGGTCTTGTGATGATTACAGGTTTTCTGGGATTCTGTGCAATCATCAGGGAACAAAGGAGCTGTCTTTCCGCAGTAAGTAACTGGATTTTATCTTTAATGGAAGCAGACTCTTACTAATAAGGATCTAATAATCCCTCTGTTGAAGAAAGAAGGGCAGGTACAACATTCTGCTAGTGCCTTTACTTGGCCTGGAGGTGGAATATGGCATGAGGAAGTGTATCCTTTACCAAAAAAGCAACATCTTTTGAGGGCGGCTTCCCACTATGCCAAGCGTTTTCTTTTGTATTTGTGATGCAACTGAGAAACTATTACTGGATACCCATAAAATAAAACCATCTAAAGCAACTTTTAGCAGTTTTATCCAATCCAGGTTGGTTTCAGAAAAGCTCTAAAGTTACTGGTGAAAATGGACACAAAAGTGAAAAGTGCTGACTGCCACATCCAAACTCAGTGTTAAATGACCACAGAAAAATTGCAACTCTTTTCTCATCTGTTTTGCTCCCTATTTCTATCCAAAACTTCCATAACAAAAATGTTTGTTTTGCTTTTTACTTCGGTTCACCCTGCAGAGTCAATGTATTTCAGAGGGAGGAAGTGGGAATCTATTCTGGCTTGTTCATTATTGACAGAATTATTTACTAAATGCCAATTAAATGTCCATTCAGTTACAGCTGGGCAAACCCACTGGCATTAGAGGAACTGCACAGGTTTCACTGAGGGCATGGACTGAAGACAATGAGTTGCACATGTGCACTGATGTCAGAGGCAGCGGGAGCTCTCTTTGAGTGGGGGACGGAGGTGCATAATGAAACCTAAACAAACAAAGCACTGTACTAATCATAGGCAGTGGGGAGAATTGGGGCAGAGAGGGGAAGGAAGTGTTGGCGCTCTGCATGCTAAGCAAGGGAAGCTCCTGAGACTTGACAGAGGGAGATCGGCCAGCTCCAGGCTGGGAAGGGAGTTCCCGGTGTTTCATGTCCCTCTTGCCAGGGGTAGCTAGCTGCTCCCGGCCCAGTCACATCACCACAATTTCTACCTGGCCTGATCCCAGACACTGCAGTGGCCAATCCAGCCCCTCGGGATCCTGGTCTTGTCTCCACTCCAAGAAGCTGCAAAGCCCTACCCTGCCTGAGCAGCCTGAGCATGTGCAGTGTATGGAAGATTGCCTCACACATATGCAATTTACAGGGAGCACTGTTTCCCAGAATGTGTAGCAAAACAACTCACGGGGGTCAGGAAACATAGATCAGTCCCCATGATATTTCCATTGATGGCGGGCTAGTGCTTGCTGCCCCCTCATCCCCCAGTTCTGCCACCCCTGATTGAAGTCATAATTGGGCCACCAGAATCTTTATTACTGATGGTGTGCAAGAAACAAAAATCCCAGCTTGATTGTCAGACCCCAGGCTGAGTTTGCAGGGCTGGTAGTTAGAAAAACTACTTTTTACTTGCAAACTGAGCACATTTGCCTGGAGTCACTGAAAGACCAGAAACATGGCATCCTGCAATGGTATTGTCACAGTGTCCGTTTTTAGAGATAAACCATCACTTAAGAGCTGATGTTCCTGGTGGAGGAGTATAAAAGGAAATTAGCAGTTTATATAAGTGATTAAACACCAAGTCAGACTTGAGTGGTTCATAGACCTTGGGCTCGCTGTAAGCACAACGGTGAATGTCAACCTAGAAGAAAAATTCTTTGGTAGCAGTTTGTCCAGCAGTCTCCATTCAGTTTGCGAAGTAGTATCATAGAAGTGTAGGACTGGAAAGGACCTTGAGAGGCCATTTAGTGCAGTCCCCTGCACTTATGGCAGGACTAAGTAATAACTAGACCATTCCTGACAGGTGTTTGTCTAACCTGTTCTTAAAAACCTCCAATGACACAGATTCCACAACCTCCCTAGGCAATTTGTTCCAGTGCTTAACTACCCTGACAGGAAGTTTTTCTTAATGTCCAGCCTAAATGTTCCTTGCTGCAATTTAAGCCCATTTGCTTCTTGTCCTATCCTCAGAGGCTGACGAGAATAGTTTTTCTCCCTCCTCCTTGTAACAACCTTTTATGTACTTGAAACTTGTTATCGTGTTCCTCCCTCCTTGATATTCTCTTCTCCAGACTAAACAAACACAGTTTTGTCAATCTTTTCTCATAGGTCATGTTTTCTAGACCTTTAATCATTTTGTTGCTCTTCTCTGGAGTTTCTCCAATTTGTTCACATCTTTCCTGAAATGTGGTGCCCAGAACCGGACACAATGCTCCTGCTGAGGCCTTATCAGTGCAGAGTAGAGCGGAATTACTTCTTGTGTCTTGCTTACAACATTCCTGCCAATAAATCCCAGAATGATGTTCACTTTTTTTTTTTTCAACAGGGTTACACTGTTGACTCATATTTAGCTTGTGATCCACTGTAACCCCCAGATCCCTTTCTGCAATACTCCTTCCTAGGCAGTCACTTCCCATTTTGTATGTGTGCAGCTGATTGTTCCTTTCTAAGTGGAGTACTTTGTATGTGTTGTTATTGAATTTCATCCTATTTACTTCAGACCATTTCTCCAATTAGTCCTGATCATTTTGAATTTTAATCGTATCCTCCAAAGCACTTGCAACCCCTCCCACCTTGGTATAATCCACAGATTTTGTAAATGTACTCTCTATGCCATTATTTAAATCATTGATGAGATATTGAGCTGAACCAGACCCAGAACTGATCCCTGCAGGTCCCCACTTGATATGCCCTTCCAGTTTGACTGTGAACCACTGATAACTGCTCTCCGGGGAGGATTTTTATGCATCCACCTTGTAGTAGCTCAATCTAGGTTGTATTCCCTAGTTTGTTTATGAAATGGTTATGCGAAACACTGTCAAAAGCCTGACTAAAGTCAAGATATTGCATATGTACATTCAGAGATTAATCCAGCACAGAGCTCTCTCCTCTCTTAAGGCCCTGTCTGCTGGAAGACCATCAAAAGTACTGCCTCTATAGTGGCTGAGAGGGCTTTTCCCTAAGCATTCTGCCATTTTCTGAAGTTTCTTGGGATTGTAGTGAAGTCTTTCTCTTCCCCCCACCATCCTTCCTTTTCAGTTTCCCTCTTCTCACTCCCACATCCCAGGGCTGCCAGACATGTTGGATCTCCTCATTTCCACTAAGGCCCCTTTATGCTTACATTTGCTTCACAACCCCTTTTCACTGCTAAAGCAGTGTAAAGGGGCCTTAGTGTAAATGAGAATCAGATCCATTATCTCCAGAGGAGGCATTTACAGGCTTGGGGGACAAATTTCTTATTTCCAGAGTAACCACTTGTGTTATAACAAAGAGTGTTGTGACTTCAGGGAGGCAACAAGTAGCAGAAGCAAATAAAATGTTAAGAAATGAATATGGGACTTTTCATTAGCTATGTCAGAGGGTAGCGGCCCACTGAAGGAATCTGGGCAGGGCCCAGCTACCTCTGACAGGACTCCAGAAGGGAGAATGAGGCAGCGCAGGTTCACCTGGGAGTAGTTAACTCACTGAGTAACTGGGAGGCTGTTAATTAGGCAAGGAAGCACCTGGCAATGATAAAAAGGTAAGGACGTCAGTTAGAGGAAAAGCTTCTGAGGAGACAGGTGGTTGATGGAGAGACAAGGGATTGTAGAGAGAGGACCCTGCCACAGATGGGTGAGACTGTTCCAGGCAAACTCAGAACTGGTCTACACGGGAACTTACATCAGCATACTGGTCTCTCTGGTGGGTGTGAAAAATCTACAGCCCGGAGACATGTAGTTAGGTCGACCTAACCCCAGGATAGACGGTGTTACTGCAGCTGGGCCACTGTAGTCCTTAAGTGTAGACGTACCCTGACTCTGTAAAGAGGGAGAAACAGGGCAGGAGGCTGGGGAAGATAAGAGGTAGGAAGTAGCTCAGAAAACCGCAAGGGACTGAGAAGGATTGGTTCTGGGTGTTCCAAACAAGGGCCTGAGCTAGAACCGAGTGAAGGCTTGGTTCTGGGTTCCCCTACCTACCCCAGCCAGAGACTGTTGGAGAAGAAACTTTCAACCCAGGAGACCCAGGGTTGATTAGCCCCTACTAGACCCACACTCCACTGCAAGGGGATACTCTGGAGACCATGGTGCCCCTTCTACAAGATATAAATAATCACAAATGGGAGGGAAATACAAGTAAAATGTGGTTATATTCATTCTAGCTCTCCAAAATTGGGATATAATTCCGGAGTCAGAAATGAACAGGAACTGATCTAATTCATCCATAACTCTAATTATTCAACTTCTTATTTTATGTCTCATGGGACGTCTTGAAAATGTGGGTTCACCTGTGCAGCAAATTAGGAACAATTTTGCTTTGATCTCATATAAACAGAATGAACTTCAGTTATCCACAAGATGTTAATGGCTCTCTTATAATGTGCCAGTGTCTCCCATTCACATGGGCTTTTTAACACTTTGTTCTGAATTTTATTGCATTATTTATTTATTTATTTAGGGCCAAATCCATAAATGCCTATTCAAATAAAACTCCATGAAACACCAAAGGCTATTTTTGTGAAAAAATTTGAAATTTCAAAGTTGTTTGTACTTGACCAATTTTTCATTCCCTCCCCCACCCCACCCGCAATTTTTGTCATGACTTTTTAAGACATTTTCCTCCAAAATGTTATTGAAAACAGTATCAGAAATAATATTGAAATGAGTATTGATATTTTTGTATACTAAAAAAAAAGTTTTGCTACAATGAAAAATGCCAATAATCTTGATAGTGGTGTTTGAACGAATTTGTAGGGGGAAAATTGGTGGGGAAAGAGGAGAGAAATGGTTCATGGGAAAATGTCAACTATGTAAATTTGGAGGAAATCATTTTTGAGAAAAAGCCATTTTTCTCTGATGAATTGTTTTATTGATTTTTCTTATAAAACAGATAGTGAAAAAGTACGAAAAGGTTAATAACTTACAGCTTGTAAATGTTTCCAAATACTGCACATTTCACAGAATATCCATGCAATTATGCAGTTTTACGGCTTACAAATCTACAAGACCAGACAACACAAAACCAGACAACACTATACAGATACAATGTGTGAAGTGG